AGATCTGTTTACGTTATTGAATCCTTGTTCGAGAAGTTGCTGTCGGTTGACTCGATGCGGATGTCAACGAAACGTTACATTCATTCGAGTACGTAGAAATTTAAATATAGACACTGCGGTAGAAGCGACGGAAAAGAAACCTTGGCGTAAGCGGGAAAAAAACGATCGCTGGCACTCGGTTGATACTACATCGTAGCCTGGCGTCGCACTGTTGTAATTTTAATTAACGAAACAACCGTAAATTCTTATCCACCGTTGAGGAGGCACGCGTGATTCGTACGTTGTACGTTACTCGAAAAATATCACGATGAAAATGGCGAGCAAACCGGTGAAAAGTAATATTGATTCTCCCGCCGACGTTGCCTCCACCTACGATAATCAATATGCGCGCTCCGGGCAGCGACTGATAGGTGCTGCCAACTAGCGGCGATCTGACGACGTCGATCATGTAGATCATGATAACAGGATCATTTCACTTACTTTTGTTATTTTCGTGGGTACCAATGTCTCGAAAATTTTATTTAACGACTTTTAAAGTAGAATTATTACATAAAATAATAATTCTTTCAGTCATTGGACGTTTACCATTAAATATATTTTTGGATCCCATTATGGTTTCTCTCTCATTTACAAACTGTTCTGTGTCATAACAGTTTTTACATATACATAAATAATATGGCTTTGTCCTGAAACTACCTTTTTTTTTTTAATTCCAAGGTCATTAGTCCTTATACTAAATTATATTTTTGTTACTATACTGTGGTTACACCCTGTATACATACGAACAGATCCGGACATTAGAGTGAATCGCATATACTTACCGGGCTTTGCGTAATTAGTATTGTATTCTATGATTAGATTCACAAGGCCGTAATCAGCCGTAAATTATAAAAGACATTACACGTACAATCGATTCGAAAGGACTTCTATTTATTCGTGAAGGTATAAATATCTCCTATACACATGTATCCATTTATTCAACCGCGCAACATTTGTTTAATTCAAGTCCAACTTTGTAAACAATCTCTCGCGTACCCGGTATCACGTTATTAACCGCTTAACACCCTAACCTAAATATACTCGGTTACATATCGCTCTCCCAGTAAACCGAGTCAAGCTGATATAACCAATAAAAAAAAAAATCAAGTAAATGAAAATTACACATTACATATTCATAGAACTTCTATGTATTTTCTACCATAGAAAAATGAACATTCAGGGGTTATCGTGGGACCTCAAGTTCCGCTGTTCACCATTTTAAAAAAAAACAACCAATCTTTCCTCGAATTAATTACGCATTTAAGTATAATGTAATACGCATTCAGTGGAAACCACAGATTTATTCATTTAACTCAAGCTTATCGCTGTCGGCGTTTAATCGGGAGTCTGATAATCGCGTAGTAATTCGTAACGGGAGATAAACAACCTATCTTCTCGGCGTCGTTGAGTCTATATGTAAGTGATATTGTAATTGATGACGTGGCATGGTACAACTCGCCGAGTAGGCGTTTCTCGATGCAACAAAGTGAAATCAACGTGTGTGCGCGCAGATACGAGACCGGGACACGGAAGATTCACGCGCATTTGACGGACGGACGTTGGAAGCGTTTGAAACGCCCGCCTAAAACGGATCGAAAAGCATGCAGCTATGGCGCTATGTACTCACGTCTCGGCAACCACCAGGCGTCCAGTTTTCTAGGCCTCGAAACAACCAGATCCGGCCACTTGTCCTCCCGTATCGAATAAGTCGACGGCGATCGCGATACGGTTTTCTCGTTATCCTCGGACACCATGCTACCTGACAACGATTTCTCGGACGGAGATATTGGCAAACCTTCGCTACTCTCCGCGGCCATGTTTACGTTTTCACTACACGCTCGCGCGCGCACCAGCCGATGGGTAACTGTGTGAGTTCCCCGACTAAACGCGGCTATGTAGCGTCGAGAATTACGCTCTTCCGAGCATTATCTGACTATCCCGTAAGAAGTATCTCTGTCGTCGCCGAAGTTGGAGAGACGTGGTTAAATACGAACTGGAAACGTTTTTTTTTTTTTAAGAGGGGGTGGATTAGAAACTGACCCACCTTTCGAGTTCCTTTAATATTTTATTCAAAGTTTGAGCTTGTATTAATTTTAAATCTCGTGCCTCTATCAGTTGTACAGATTGATTCATTATTTTGGGTCCTTGCAATTCTTCTATCACCTCGAAACATCAACCATCTGAAGTTATAATAAATTTAATTTTAAGTCGCGTGCCCTGAGGAGTTATACAGCGCGATTAATCATTTTAAAACCTTGCAATTCTTCTATGTACCAACTAGAGATACCTTGAAAAATATTCATCTTCGTTTATTTTAATTAAGACGTTTTGAAATATTTGAGTTAGATCCATACAACAAGATTATGCTGCTTCCGTTCCAGTAACATGGGATAATTACTTTCGGTCCTCTCGAGTTTTAATGGTTATTCATAGACAGAATGGAGATTTATACCTCATCCTACCGAAACACTGTACTAGATAGTAGCAATTCTTCGTTGGATAAATGTCATCGCCTGAAATTGCATTGTAATGCTTTGCGTGTTTCGATTAATCGGACATGTTAAGAACGCTAGCACGTATGCCACAGACATAACAGTGTGTCACTCACCACGAACTCTCCATCTTATTTGTGACACATATTATCACATGTACTATTGAACTGCCTCCTAAAACACGTGAAATCAGGAATAAATAATTTCTCCTATAAAGAAAGTCTACGAGATGGAGCTATTTACTATGTGATATAACGTAAATTCCGAAATCCGTTGTTTGTTAAGCGGAGGCCAGTTATGAATTTTTTAGTGATGGTTACAGCATACATATTTTACAGCAGTTTTTACTGCCACTGCACACGTCGTAATTGTTTTAATAATTTCCAAGAAAAATATTCCAGAAACAACTCGCATTTGTACGATAGAAAGAATAATACCCATGCTCCGTAAACGGGGCACATAAAAGCAATTCAGGAAAAAGCTTTCCAACCCAGGGTTAGCTAAATTAGATTGGATTTTAGGTTTTGGTTTGGCAGGTTAAGTGTACTAGACTGGTTGAGGTAGAGTAAGTAGGTTAGATACGTTAGAATTAAGATGGTTAAGTATGGTGGGTGCGTAACACAGGATATCGAGTATGTTAAATTGGATTAAGTTCAAATTGCGTTTTGATTATGTACTAGGCGGTTAGCTTCCTGTTCAATTATGTTTTGGCTTTAGTTTAGTGTTATGCTTTGATTAGGTTCAGTTATGGAGGTTGATTAGCCGCTTAGCAAAGCATAGTGAGTGGAAGAGGTAGTCCAGGGGCCTACTGATATTTCGAGCTCGAAAGAAGAGTATTTTACTAAGGTTTCTTTATGGATCACATTGTAAAATATGAAACTTTACTTCTACTACTTCAAAAAATATGTGAACAAGATTTATATTTTAATATGTTTTCATTGAGTCTATATTAAAAAAGAGCAAATGTATACAGTTAAGCCATCTTTTCAGCTGAAACTGTCAAGTATTTTCTTCTAGATATTGATAGCTTGTACCATTACAGAATCTGTTGCCTGAAGCGTAGACTATATGCAGGCATTGATACGCGAAGTATTGAAACTATCCATCATAGTTTATCCTCTCAGTCTGGCAACTCTTCTCTGAAAATCAGCAATTTTCAAATAGAGAAATAATTTTGCAGCTTGCCTTTGAAGTGCAGGGAAGCAAAAGAGATAGATTACAGTATTTTTGATTAATATAAAATATTGTCTTATTAGTACGTTAACTATTATCATAAATTCTCGGGTAAGTCCCACCAGGCCACTATTTTCTAAACGCCGTGCACGTATGCATAATTTAATTAAACAATTGTCTGCATTCAGCCATACTATCCCATGTGTAGTTACTGCCTGGTAATCCAATCTTAATCACTTCTAAGTGAAGCTATAAAGACGATGTCTCACGTTCAAGAGCATCTACGACAAAGCCAAACGTAACGCATAATGATTGCACGTTCGTTCTTTATTGAAATGGGTGTTAATTTAAGGTAATATATACATAATAATAGGTAGGTAAATAAATAAATAAATGGAATACCTGTACAAGATTTAAGGTAATAAAGAAGAAGGAATATGTACATAAATAATTAGGCTATTACTACAGGGTTTCTGTAATCTTTTTCTCTGGAATATCTGTAAAAAAAATACTAGTTTAACAATTACAATTGTATTATTTCTATTTGATATTCTTTTTAAACGTTTAATAAATTCATTTCTAATCCGTCAGCCACCAAGAAATATGTGATAAGACAGTCAATGTATATCTTATAATAAAGACGAATTATCATTTTCATAATTATATTCATAACGCTGGCAGAAATACATAATATCATTCGTAATTATTAAAGTCAGTCGAATAGAAGTGACGCAACCCCCGTGGTTTGTACGTGTCACTCGAATTCGAATGACACGGCAGACAACTGAAAATACAGTGACAAGCAACAGAGCAAACACGTTTTGTTAATCTCGCGATGTGAAACGTTCATATCGCAAATTCGTTAAACCTAACAATAATAGAAGAATAATAATATCCAGAATATGAATGTATTATATGTATAATAAAAAAAACGTACAACTTTATTTATAAAGCCTCTTTAGGAAAATTCTTTCACTGGCAAACCTTCAAACTACAGAAGCTTGAGAGCAAAGGATTGAAATTCAAAAAATTCAAATATATTCCATTCCGTTCATGTTTTATTAAAAGTCTAAATCCTAAATCCCCTTTTTCCAAACCCTTTGTGAACGTTCTTTCACATGCACCAACCCCAGGAGCATGATCTCCGCTGAACAGGATTCCCAACCGAATGGCAACGAGCGCGTCGAGAGCCTCGATAACTGCGTGGAGTCCTGCGCGCGCAGGTATTCGCAACCACCCTTCCCAAGCTCGAGTCAACCCCGCGGCACAGCCGAAACTCAAACTTCGGCGCGCGGTCGAACCGGATCAGTTTCTCTCTCTTCACGCCAAAGGGACAAGGAACCGTCCAAATGACGCGTGACACCGTTGTTCTAGTGGCGCGAAACGCCTGACTTCAAAGTGGAAACAGCGCGTCCACCGCGACGATATGCGATCAGACGGCAGCGAGACCGCGGTGAAACCGATTTTCCCGGTTGCCGGACTTTTCCACCGCGTTCCAACAAATGCGCGTTTCGTTGACTGAAGAAACACCAGGAAAACAACAGGAACGATGTACGGCATGCTTTTAGAGAGTGTGCAGCACTTTGTGCAGGTTGGTAACCAAAACTAGGCAAAATTGTTAATTTAATACGAGTTTTCATTAATTAATGAAAGACACATGTTTGTATCGTATGTTAGTCATTGAATAGAATTTTGATTTGAAATTGTTGAATGAAATGTTTCACTGTGAACGAGAAAAATTTAATAATTAGTTAATAATGTCGATAATACAATGGTTGATACGACTATGAATGTTCATACGTGGCCAGGTCAAATTTATTTTTCTTTTCTGTCACTTGTCTCATGCCTGTAAATTAGTAACATTTATTAAATCTTAGCTCTTTCAGGGAAATTTTTAATTATTCAATCGAATAGACGTAGAACACAAATTGCAATTACTTAATTCGTTATCTCATAAGCGATTAATCTCTGTTAATAATGTATAGTGCTAGTGAGTTTGTAGACCAAGTGATCGAACGAATATAACTGCAGTTTCGTGAGACTAGATTTTGACCACTTCATTTTCACTTATTTTTACGGTTGTGTATTTATGTGCATGCTAAGCTTAATTGTTCGTCATCGAATGACTGTGAGGAGAGAACAGAAACAAACGAAATGGAAAGCACGTGCGAAGCCTTATTTCTGATCAGACCAATTCACGCCAATTGAACTGATAAAAGAAATTCCTTTAAATGCGAGCCATACTTTTGCTCATTGAATTTGATTAGTCTTCGATTTCTGCACGTGCAACAAATGTTACGCGAATTACTGAATTATATAAAATACCTTGCATAATCATTGTAAAAAATTAATCCAAGTAAATCGTACCTTAACTCTTACTTTTAAAAGTCTCGCTATAGATATAAAATTATTTTACCTCAGGATATAAATTACAGGAAAATCTGGTCTGATCCATATCACGTTTCCTCCCACGTCTCGATTCCCCATCGAGGATTCCTGTCTGTTCTTGATCGTCTTGATAAATTCAGCTTATTTAAGTGTCGATAGTAAGAATAAATGTATTGAATTCTTCATTAGTCGGTGAATTTTTTTCGCTGAAGCGGTCAGGCCACCATAAAGTTACGTTACAATCAGAAGTGCTTATCTTTGCTTGATACACCATTGTTACTGTTTCAATTTCGAATAGAGACAAAGCGAGTCCGTGCAGAGGATCTATTGACGTGTTTATGAACTGGTGTGCAATGTATTGATTTATCGACTCGTCTCCAAATAATCGATCGTTTAAAAAAAGGATCACGTACTCGTCCGGAGGAAATGGTTTCAAGATACGGAATGAACGAAGTATATCGATGAATATGGATGAACTTCTGACTTCCTTTCAGTACAGCGCCTTAATTGCACAAAGATTTAAAAATAGCATTGTTCTTCCGGCGACTAAGGACACCTGTTGATTCGTTTCCCAATGCTTTGTTTATCCACTATTGTCGATAATTCTATTAACGATCACTGCGGTTCTTCGATCATATTTTCCATCTTGTCTTCAAATTTCTTATAATTAGAAAACTTCAGGTTGCAGATATATCTGAGTCAAAACTTTGCGCATGCATACATAATTACGTATGTATCCCGGGCTAGATTACTTGGAGTGATCGAACTCTTCATAAGCGACGATCAATTAAAAATGGATTAATCATTGAAACACAGCGTGCAATGCAGAACAATGAACCTACTTAGTAAGAGGATATTCAAAAGAATTATCGATAAGTCTTCATCAATGTATGCATTTATGGTTGATATAGAAAATACACGTATGCAGAAGTATTTCATAAATTAACGCAATAATTTCAATATTTTATTCTGCGTAAATGCATGTATTTACTCTGTGCACATTTTGCATATATTTTTTATATTTATGTATGCCATGGACGCATAAAATTTATACTCAATTATGATTAAAATCATACGTTCATCGGGTACGCATTTTAAAAAGTATTCCAACTCTTGGAACTCCTATTAAATGGAATTTAATGGAAAGCAATTTGTCTGAATGATTTATCTATATAATTTAGATAGGATTCACTGAATTATTCGGAAGAGACACATTGTAAATTACAGTTCTAATCGAGTATTCGTTTTTCTATTTACGCATGCATGCGAGTAGTATACCAGACGAGGGCACGTTAGACCACGGTTGAAATTCGGTTATTAAACTGCGTGAAATTTGCGTGTCTGGTTGGTATATTGAACCTCGAGAGGTTCCATTAGTGTGGAAACCGTATTCATTTTCGTGATCGTGGTCATTATGGCAGGAAGAAACATTGATTATCCTATATGGAGGGCCTGGAATTGGATTGATTGTGGGAATCAACTTACCGCGAATAAGAGCAATGAATAGCTTATCGTGCACTTACTACATTGTAAAGTGTGTAATCACGTACTGAAACCCTGGGTTGTATTTTTATTTCTTTAAGCGAATGACAAATGGTTTGAAAATTGAAATAAACCATCTCGTAAAATTGTTTGCAATTAAACTGCAAAATAATTCTTAAATAAGAAAGAAGTGATTTAATAGAACATAAAAAATAAAGATAGGAATGATTCAATAAAAAATAAAAATATTGTTGATTGTTCCATTGTACGAATTAAATGTTTTAATCTGCAAAGCGCGCTAGATTTCACTATTATCATCAGCTCAGTTCGCAAACATTTCATACATAGCTTTGCAGCGTGACGTATAACACCCTGGCCTTTTGTTTTTGTATAGGAGGAATAAAAGGTGGCACGAAGGAAAGGAAATATTCCCTCGAGCATAATAGAAATGGCTACACGTTCTATCCTTTTATACCCAATCCGCTGTTTCTAAGCTACTTTCATTGGAAATCGATCGCACGTACAGTGGCGAGATTTGTACGAAGCATAATAAAGTGAAACTGGAAGACTGTTCACCATAATTTCAATTAAAAACTCGTGATGAAGTTTCTGATAAACCAATCGCAGATCGAAAGACGAACTCAAAACTTGACTGAATGAGTTTGGTCTTGAAGTATAGAATCGTTTCTGAAACGTTTCATTAATTCTAGTTTGAATGATTAAAACTGAGTACAAGTAAATAAATAATATTATAATAGGAAAAATAGTGTACTATCTTAATTCGAAAGTTCTACTACATCTAATATTTTAGTTTAAATTTGTTCTCTGAATGTAATGGTGATTTCAAGAAAATGTAATTAAATCGTTACGTTTCTATAAAATAATTAATCAATTTATGATCAAATCTATGAAGCATATCCTACGTGTTAACGTCATAAGGGAATATTCTTCAATTAAATGTCTAAAGCACTCCTCGTTTCAATACTGAAATTAGTCATTTAGCGCCTTCCTAATGCCACTTTATCTAAAATGAGACGAACCGAAGGAAACCGATTAGAGTAAAATACACTTCTGGTTGCAGTTAGAGTATGGCGAAGAAGTGTGGCATCAGCTCTTGGAAAGTGCTGATTGCAAGCACATGGTATTCAACACACGACAAATATATCCTGACGAGCTTATGACCAATTTGGCTGCTGCTTTAGCCACGATCAAAGGCATCTCGATCGATAATGTGATGCAATTCTTTGGCAAATGTTTCGTTAGATTTTTCAGCAACTTAGGGTAAGTGACATTTCATCCTCAAGAACGCCACTCAATAATTACTAATTCGTCATTTTTAAAACGACTAGAAACTAAAATTTCACTTCAGAGTAGAAATTTCGTGAAGAGACAATTATGGTAGAAATAGAACCAAGGTATTCCTTTATGGTCGCATGCGTTAGGACATGTGACTGGACTTAATCCGTGACACAGAGATTGGATTTAGTGTCTCGTTAATTAAACCGTTTAATTACCATTACACACACATTAGAGAACTATGCGGCGCAGGATAAATTATTTCCAGCTACAACTGCCACGGTTCTATTAAGCGCTTCCACTAATTAATATTTTATTGCGTCCGATTTAATACACTATCGGATCTCTTTACATTTTCGAGCAATCGATAGGCGTTATTGCTTTAATTAAGCTTATCCAACCGAAGTTACGCTTCTTTCTAATTAGCGATGCATGAGTCGGGTTGTTACGGACGATTTATTCGATTGCCTCAATTACGTAGAATAGTTAGAGCGATAAGGACGGGGTGATGCCCGATCTTATCAGTTTTCCGTGTCTCGGGGGAGAGGTGATTATCTGAGCGTAAGGTATGGTACGTTTCCTACACGATTACTCGATACGAGACTTTGAATGCAACCGATGAGAATCGAATCTGGATTTTCTGTAATTATAGAAACACCTGCAAAAATAAATTTTTCAACTTAAAATTAGACATAAACGTGTGTAGGATGTAGGAGTCATTGACGATGCCGTTGACATTTAGCGAGATGTTTTTTTACACAGAATTGTTTACTTCCCAAATAATTATGCAGTTGATAACAAAATAAAATTAAGTAGTGTCTTTAAATTTTATATAAAATTAAATGTATTAAAGACGAGTCGTTTAAAGTAATGTATGAATTATACGAATGAACTGATTTTAGCATTTGTTCATGGAATTCCGAAAATGATAAAATACAATACGTGAAAATAGAGTTTAAAAATCTTCCGAATCGCAATGCATGGGTATTTATTGTTTGAATAATAGGTACGCCTGCACAGTGAAAGCCACAGGTCGTTATTTCTGTGACTTTCTGCAAAGTGTCGACAATATTCATATGCAAATGAGATTCACGTATCCAAAAATGAAAAGCCCTTCCATGTACACTACACACGTCGACGCGCAAGGTGTAGTGTTAGTGTATCGAAGCACTAGGCAAGGTTTTACGCATTATCTCATGGGTAAGATGTTTTCTAATTTGCGAATGTTTTTCTGTTTAACTTTTCCAAGACAAAATGTAAATAATATACAATTTTGAAACATCGATTTGACGTATAGTTTCGACGTATAGAAAATGTTGTTCCACATATAAATAAATCTTTCAGTTTGATTTCAAAACGTTATTCGTAGCAGGTCAATGGAAAATTGAAACACATTTTCTGTTTATACCTCCGAAATGAATAAAAGATTTCCTATTGAATTTTCATTACCTATACATTTTCTGTCATTTCTCATAAATGATAAACAAATCAAGTCAAGATAAGCAGTGTGCGTAAACTTGCAATTCTGATAGTTTAATTTCAAAATGCTAAATACTCAAAGTTAATGTTCCGCAATAAAATGCTTCGGAAGAGATATTGCTCTGAACTGATTTAACTTACATTACGAGTATTTTATAATGAGATGTCAGAGACATATGTATATAATGGAAAAGTTAAAATAGTGAAATAATAATTCACAAGGTAACACGCCTTTATTCCCATACTTTTCCAACAGGTCAGTTGTACTATATAGCTAAAGAGCTTTACGAAACGGATTTGATAATTAGCGTATTAGAATCTTCAAACAATATCCCGGGGTCCAGAAGTGTGATGGTTAAATTTAGAATTGACTTTGACAATCGTGAATATGTAAGTAATCTCACGAAAAATATTCATAATATCAATCCAATATCTACGAAAACAGATTTTACCAATGCTTGAAGGGATTGTGAATAATAAAGAAAATTTTGATGATCGCGATTTCTAGATCGCGAAGAACAACAGAATGAAAACTCCGCTAGGTCGAGAATTGGCACCAGTGTCCTGCACGTTTCTTTTACGGCTGTTCCCGTTTGGGGTCGTGATAAACAAGGATATGCTCCTACTGGGAGTTGGCGATAAACTGTTGCAAGCATGGGGCGGTAGCTCATCCATCCTGAACAAACACGTCACGGAAGTCTTTAAACTGCGTAGGCCTAAAGGGATTTCCTTCACTTGGGGAAACGTAAGGGTACATTTTATATCAGATGCTAGGGAGATTGCTTCATTTGTCACGTTATCTTCAAGCCTAATTACAGAGCAGAACATCGGTAATATTATTTTAAATCAATTGATGACGAATATTCATTCTTTAAACATAAATGTTTTTCTAGAGGCTAATATATTTATATATTCTCCATTTTTATTTACTTTATATTCGATTCTGGTTTTCAAGGTTTCAATTTCTTGATAACAATGCCACATACTTGTATAGGTGCTGTATTTGCATTCAGTGATGTTCGAGCTAGAACTCATCAGGGTAAACGATAACAATGCACAGTCGAATACAGACAATATCGCTAGTACAAGCTCAGGATTAGATAGGCGAGGAAGCCAAGGAGCTAGAAGTATCTTGTTGAAGGGCCAGATGAGGTACATCGATGACATCAAAGCAATAATTTTCCTATGTAGTCCCTTGTAAGTACACGAAAGTAATGAACAATAGTACGAATAATCGTCAAAGCCCTAAAATAAGGGTTCCCAAAGTACTCAACCATCCATAACTTTTAATTATTATATTAATTTCTATACAAGAGATATACTCTTTCTCCCTTTATCAAACATTTCAGTTTCATATTAACATACCTAAATAACACAGAGTGGTACGTGATTAAAATTTTTTGGGAACCCTCAGCCCAAAGCACAGAAATAACAAAAAGTATATTTCGACAGAATCAACAGCTTAGACGAGCTACTCAACATGGGCCTGTACCTGAACGACCTAAACCCTCATGGCCTAAGTCGAGAATTAGTCCTCGCGGGATGGCAGCATTGCGGAAGGTACATACATTATCATTATTTCAATTCCAGCAAAATTGAACGAGCTCATTTTTCTCCGGACCCTTTCTACTCAGGTTGGAGATGATGTTCGAGAGGGCGGAACAGAGATCAACCGAACTGGAAAATAGCTACGCGTTACTGGATCGTTGGAAGAACAAAAGCGACGAGCTTCTGTATTCCATGATTCCCCAGACGGTCGCTGATCGCTTGCGTGCCGGTGCGAGCCCTTTGAGCACTTGCGAGGTATCAAACGATCAATTATTAATGACAGTATCGTGAAAGGAATTTGTTGAGACAGAAAGCTCACAATATAGAATGAATCTACTATTTTAAATACAAATTTGGATTGTTTTTAACATTCTATAACACCGATAAGAAGACAAGATAAGAATAAGACAGAATAAGAAGACAAAATTAACGTTTCCTTTTCTTCATAGTCGTTCGAGTCTATAACCGTTTTGTTCTGCGAGCTTTGCGACTTCGATTACTCGACCATTGAGGGCGCAATGGACATCGTCTCGTCAATGAACGCCGTTTTCTCGTGTTTCGACTCCCTGATGGACGAATACAATGTGTACAAAGTGAGTCCATTATGGCGATAGGAAGAACACTTTTACGACCTCTTGGATAGTAGAAGCACTCTCCAAGTGGACGTAAAACGTCCCAATAACTTCCCGAACACCTCAAAGCAGAGTTCTAGTTTGCTGAATGATAAAGTGAATCATTTTCAAGAACGTATAGAAACAACTTATTATGAGACATCACCATGGAACTTGAAGAACTGAAACTATTGAATAATATAAACAATAGTTTTTTTTTTATTATTCACTCAAACCGACCGGAACTCTGCTTCAACGCTCGTTATGTTACTTTTGCTTCTTTCAACAGGTAGAAACAGTCGGTCGAGTTTACATGGCAGCGAGTGGAGCACCGGATAAGACTGAAGATCACGCTCAAAACGTGGCAGACGTTTCCCTGCAGCTGATAAAGCACGTGCAATCTCTCAAATTGCCATCTGGTCTTGATATACAGATTCGCATAGGTAACACGCGCGATTTCTTACCAAACACTCGTAATTTCTTCTAATTTCACTTGAGTATACTTCCCTTCGATTTCAAGCGTTTCTGACGCTTTCAAAAGTTTGCGTACGCGAAACGAACGCAACCGCATGCAAGCGTGTTCTACTTTCTCAGGAATTCATTCTGGACCAGCTGTGGCAGGTGTTGTTGGCATCAAAGTACCGAGATATTGCTTCTTCGGCGACACGGTGAATACTGCTTCCAGAATGCAAACGACCAGTCTGGTAAGTTTCTGCTATGTCTATCTAATTGTAGGAAAACTGTTTAAAAGAAACTGGGTATAAAAGAGCATCCAACTAGTAGAATGTCGTAATGTCATTGACACGTTTGATATTTGTGGCGAAGTAGAAGATTCATGAACTGATTGCTTTGTTCTTCACAGAAAATTATTGTAAGGTAGATTAATAATTTCCTGACAGTAGAAATAATAAATATATTTTTTATTCGGCAAATTTTCAGTTAAACCAGTTAGCTAATAAATTAAAATTAATGGTTATATAATAAAACATAGTTTTAGAGAACTTAACTTTGTATTGATAAAAGTCAAATTTTATTCGTGACCAATTTTGTCGTTTCCAGTGCTAACAAATACACGGTTTTTCCACTTGCATGTCCTCAATAGATCACTCACGAGCACGTTTATCTTTCACTAAACTTCAAACATGATAAAGTCTCCTCTAAATTCAACAATATTTTCCATTCGACAATTCTAAGAACTTCCAGGCTATTACTTTCCCTTTCGAATCTTATACCTCGCGAAAATTTGACTTTGTGCACAATTTTTTTCATGACACAGCCAGGAAAGGTACACATCTCGGCAGACACTAAAGCGCTATTGGTCAAAGACCGGTACCACGTCGAGTCACGCGGACTAGTTTGGGTCAAGGTTGGTATCAGAAAAACTCCTGCTTAGAGATCCTTAGTCTCGAATCGCGTGATCCTCTGTTTGTCACTCCACGCAGGGAAAAGGCAACATGGAGACGTATTGGATGTTCGACAAAGCGGAAACGAATATTGAGATTACGATCGAAGAAGCTACACCGCCCGAAGGACTTCTAGTCACCGATGTTTAACGTGTAACAAAACGTTGGATGTTATTTAAGAGATCGTTGAACTGCTTTTTGTTTTTAACAGCTGGACGAGCATGTACAGCTTTCGAGATTAAGTCTGGATCGTGCTATTGACAAGCAGACGCGCATATTAGCCTGATGGGTAAGATATACAATGCCCCAGTTTTGTGATGAAATGGTATTGTAGACATATCACAATTCGTAAACGAGCCAGGAAACAGGATGAACAGCTCCTTGACGTGAATAGTACAGAAGGTTCATGTTGTAAACATTAGACAATGTTCTCGTGCGTGATTAGGTATTTTAGACATAATTATTATTTATTACTTGGTGCCGGAGATTATTATTGGTTATCCAAAACAGTACAGTAATATATTTACATTTACTTTATAGCTATATGATTTTGTTATATAAATTTTTCACTGACAATTTCGTAATATTTTTGGGTTGCTCCAAAAACAATAATAAGTACTTATCACAAAGTGGAGTTTATCAGTTCTGAAAAGCTCAAATGACAGTGCAACGTATGTTTGCATAAATGTTGATCCATGACGAGCATATTAAAGTCTTTCGTTTTGTAGCTTATCCTAAATGTTAATGTTAATAACATAAAAATCAAATTTCAGAGATCTCACTCGAAGCTATTCATACTTACACTTACGCTCTATTGATTCTCTGTTGACATTTTCTTTATAAGTGTATATCCATTCTTTCTCCCATTGACCTGCTGATCTCATGCTTCATACATATTTTTTTTATAGCGTAATAAAGACAACATTATCATTGTCATCATTATTATTATTATTAATATATCTCGTAATCAAAGTTACGAGTTTACAATCTCACAGTCACTTATTGTAGCAAATTAATTTCATTCCGAGTATCAAAATTGAGTATCATTGAAAGCTTGCACATCGTTGAAAGACTTCAGTTTAGCCAAATTAGAATATTACCATTTTCTTTTCTCTAAATCACGTCAAAGTATTAAATAAAATAATCGTAATCACTTTAGTTATTTTAAATTGGACGATGAATATATTTTTACCAAGTTGACATTCTACACACACCTTTATCCAGTTACAAACAATGTGTAAAATATTTCAAAGTTTTTATCATATAAACTACTTTTCCCACCACTTAATAGGTGTAAACAATTTTTTTAAACATCTCTGAAACTGTTGTGTTTGCTGCAGAAATAGTTACTATTAAAAATGTAAAAAATTGTATACAAAAAAATTCGACATGTCTTTCGAAAAACATATATCAGAGTTTTTTGGCGAAAATTGTCGCACCTACATTTCTCGCAACAACTCGACCAAAGTTTATGCAAAATAATCAGCTTGGTAAAGATACTTTCTTGATGTTCCGTGTATTTTAATCTAGAGTGACTAGTCTAAATGTAGCTATATAAAAAAAACACGAGAGAAAAAAAAGAAAAACATGAACATTTCACTCGACAAATCAGAGCCTCGCGCGAGTGACATAGTAGGTACGTGAGTTTTCACCGAAATTCCATGTCGAAATGAACAGAGAAAGTCCCGTGACTTTCTTTCTCGTACGTTCAATGTTACGAGTTGAACGAGGCTAGTACGTGCCTTAACTTTCAATTGCTGTCGTCGCGTGTGTAATGTCCGTGTAGACTTATGCTACAAAAAAAGCGTAAAACACGAGTGCAAGCTATGTGTACTTTCGAACTTTGCATCACCGCCCGGTCCATCGCGAAATTCATAGTCTAGACATAGCAAGTAAATAAATAACGAGAAGCTGTTAAATTAAATATGCAAATAGTTCATATTATAGTAATGTATGTCTTTCTCTTCATTCTAGAGTGTGTGAAAAATTTAGGTTCAAAAGGGAATGTTAGTGGTTGTACGAAGCATTTTCAATATAAGTTTAATAAAAATTACTGTATACTTTGAAACACTTTATGGATACGGAATTTCTTTACTGTTTTATAAAATTTCATTGTAACCATAATATTTATGCTACCTTATTTGAACTAAAAAAAGGTCCTTTACTTTTTTTAATGTGTGATATTTTCTTCATACACATTTTATACTTTTACGGCGTATAATAATTTAAATTATTACTCAAAGGGTAGATAAACTGCTACACAGGGGGAAGTAACTTTATAGTTGCTATCTGCTCCATGGCAGAAGGTAAGAAGAGGGGGGAGTATGTGGAGTACAGCAAATTCTATCTGAGTATTAGTATGCTTAGGATCCGCTCAAACGCTCGGACTGAACTTCAAAGCGGTGCAACAATTTGGTTCAGAACTGACTATCTATTTTAAGCTTTTAAATAGGGTCAACGTGAAACGTTGAAGAATATTCAATAAACTTATACTAAAAATGAGTACAGCCAATAACATTCACATTTAAACTTAAATTTACTGAAAACATAAATATGTCATGTGTAATAAATATTCCACTGCGACAGAGTTTATCGATACTGTCCTGGAAAGTGTACTCTTTGAATTTAAAAGGTTCCCACCAAAGATGGAGAAAATTCAAATAATGAATAAAGGTTAATCAATTGTCTATCTATTACACTTTAAAAAAAAATTTAATTCTGAATTATTTAATGTAGTACTTTACAATGAAAAACGAAAAATTAAAGTATTCCATTGAATAAATGTCACGAATAAATTGTTAAATTTCTAAATTTTTATTCGTTATGTATTACACGAATAAAACTTTTCCCATCTTTGGTTTTCACTGGATCCTTACCAACCTCAAAAGAAAAGCAAAAATATGCGTAAAAAGTGTTACATGCCTCCCGTAAACGTCGATGAGTATTGTGTTGCACAAAGGTTATTCATGATTCTAATTTGAATTGAATCAACAGTAGCAAGCGTCCTCGGTGTTGCGCATTATCCACGTCAAATAACGATTCACCCTAGAGTACACGCCAGGATAGCCAGGTTTCGCGCATCCTTCGCCCCAGGACACGACTCCTGCGAATAGAGGGCACCATTATTATTGATAACGAAACGCTGGAATAGCTAAGCATTATTATTTCGAATAATATTACTAAAATATTATTTAAAGCATCTTAATTCTGCATATTATTCAGAATAATAATGCTTCATTTTTCAACACAAACAAAAATTGTAATGTTATTCTATGGGACATAGATCTTACCAACTATATTGTACGTCTTGTTGTTCTCGACGTGTAGAGGACCACCGCTGTCTCCCTAGTTAACAAGAAATCATAAACAATATATATGTGTCTTGTTCTGAAAATATCAGAATGATAGTCTAAAGAGAAAGTTTCAATTTCATGGTCAATTTCAGTAATAATCACAATGTTATTTAAATGACTTCTCATAATAGAAATGATTCGATGTACAAAACAATGCACACATGTGCGTGGTATATAAGCTGTACAATAATGTTATAGAATATATATCTATAACGATGATAAAAAGAATTGCTTGTTAATTACCTGACACGAATCCTTCATTCCTTCTTCGTAGCCAGCGCAGAGCATATTGTCTGTTATTCTTCGTGCTGGATATTTAGTAGCTCGACATTCTGTGTTTGTTAGTATGGGCACCATGACCTCCTGCAGAGTTTGAGAAACGGAGCCAGACTCCGAGACTGCGCCCCATCCGGTTACTATACCTTTTTGACCAGCGAATGTTTTCGCTGGAAGCAGCAATTTTATTTCAGTAGACATCGAATAAAAGATATTAAATAATTATATAAATTCCACCATGTGATTCATTTTTATTAATTACGATGAACACATTATGTCTTTTTTTCAACGAGTTATGGACGATAAGTTTTAAATTTTACCTCGTTCTGGGAGGCAAACCGGTCTCATCTTTCCCTTAAATGGTATGGACTCTTTTAGCCTGACCAGTGCGATGTCATTGTTATAGTTGTATGTCGAGTAACCACTGTGTTTGATCAGTTTATCAACTTTAAACACTTTCGTCTCAGCCTCCGTCGTGGAATTACGATCGTGCTCCAATATTACGATCGACATGGAGGTTGGATCAAATCTGGTGTAATAATTGAAAATTTTAAATATTATTATCGTAAATAATATTAATTTTAATATTAATATAATATTTTTCTTAAATATGTAACTTACAATAGTTATGTGTCATAATTTCAATATAACAGATCAATTTTCAATGTACGAGATATATTTCGATAAAAGAAAGTAATAATACATATGACTGCTATTGTTATTAAAACAGAAAATTAGATCACCTGTCAACGCAATGAGCTGCAGTTAAAATGTAACGAGAGTTTATGACGGTTCCACCGCAATAAAATCGTCCTCTGAACATCATTAATGCCATCCATGGATATTCATTAACTTGCGTCTCGGTACCGCCAACTATACGCTTGTCGGTGTTTGTCAAGCCGCATTCTATAACCCATATATACTCATTATTGTGTATCTATATACATTTTGTATAAAGTGATCAGAGCAAAGTGCCATTTCTTGCGGTGCTAATTGCGTTTTACTAAAGACAGTATAGCTTACTGCAAGGTAAACATTCTTCTTTCATTGGTTCCGGAAGTTCAGTTGTGGTTGTCGTTGTGGATCCAATCGTAGCGAAGCCAAACAGCCATTCCCAAAAGTTTTTGTCGTCCTGAACCGTCGAATTCGTTTGTGTAATATTCGAACTGTCTGCTTCCTCGATAATGGGAGCTTTTCGCTATAATAAACATTTATCTGATACAATTCTGTTGAAATATTCGCAATCTTTCACTGTCTATTAATGCACTACAACAATTATAGTAATACACGAATTCATGTAAAATATAATTAAATTTAAATATTAATAATTACAGTAAGTTCTAATTTATTGACCTATAATATTTTCAACAGTCGAGTCAACTGTTGAAACATTCTTTTCTAATTTTAAATGTGTCTAAAAATGTGACAACAAACATTTCACGTAGAGAAAAGGCAATATAATGATTCTAGTATTTATTTGCAATTAAATCTTCCAACATGTGTATCGAAATAGATTTGTGTTTAAAGGTAAGTAAACATTATTTTACGCACTGGAATAAACAATTCCACGAACACAGCACATTCGTATTAATATACGTATTTCATCGCCGTTATCTGTCCTCAATATGAAACACACTCACTATGCGAAGGAGGAAAAGAATTGTTTTCGACGGATGCCCTCCGATTTAAATTCATCTACAAATACAAGGACGCGTATAAGTTGCAAACCGCTAGTAGGAAACTTGCGTAAGGCATATATCGTTTCATTAAAATATGCAAATATGGTCTTATTGTTACTTGTCGAAGACCCATTAAGTAGATATTAAATTACATATAGAGTTCAGAGGTAATATAGTACAAAGATCATACTTGTAGGTTCGATAACTATGGAGACAAGGACTTGTAATACTGTGTATATGACACAGTATTCCATACATAACAATGTTGACAAGTCTAATTAAAACAACGCCACAATTAAAAAAAAAAAAGTAATTTCTTTTAAATTATTATAAAATGTCAATTTATGTTTATCTTAGACAGACCCCATGTCACAATTTTCTGTCAGATCGTTTACGATAATTACGAAAACAAAATCGTTGAAGGAAAAGTGTGTTACGCGAATCTGCATAGCGTTACCAAAACGGTTACTTACTTCCTCGCAATTAACGACACACACTGTCGTGACGACGAGGATCAGCCAAAGTATCGAGCGCATGCACATGATCACTGGACACTATTTTCCTCGACGCACACGAAACGAGTACTCCGAATAAGCTGGCACTCGGGCACTGAATAAAGAAGCAACGGGTTCAATTGGTGACAATACAACACTTCCTACCAAGACGGCGTACACTTTCACATAAGACTTCGATCCGAAGTCACATCTATATTTATACGAAATAGTGGACAGACGAGTAGTTGAAGTGAAAATTTAGGCTAACCGTATGTAAATTTCCGACTGACTAACATTATCGGTGGACACAACATCCCGTACGTGTTCTCGCGACACCGGTTATTTAAAAATGTGAACGTCCTCACCCAGGTGATTCCCCTTGTGGTCCTTTCGTCTTTCTTTTCGATCGTCCTGCGAATCTCGACGGTGAAGCACCGTGCATTTGACAAGCGGTCAATTTGATTTTTTTTATTATTAATGTGCGAAACGTGGCATTTCAAATGATAAACGTACGTAAGGATAATGGATCATCGTTTGAACTGATATAATTTATTTGGTGGGTGTGTTAGGGTATCTTAATTAAGGTCGTATTTTAAAATTTTAGTTGGAGACCGATGTGTGATTTTATCGAGAAAAAATTAAGAAAAGTATAGTGTGCAGATCTAATTATAAACAAAGATACTAATCGTTCGATAAAAACTTCAGAAGACAAATTATTTCATGAATGATGAATGATTAAAATTGAAAATTGGATATATCTCTTTAAATAAGATCTTATGTATTTTCATTTATCATATTGCCATTCCAAGTAATAAATTCAACGATGTCGGACGAGTTGCCAGATTGTGTTTAACATTCTGACTCACCGACACACCCAACAAACATTAGTAACGACGCAACATGACTATTTGATTTTCGGCATTGTCACCCGTTGGTTACAGTAATGACACAAATTTTAATCGACCCAACACAGATATCGTTATCGCTGTACACAGTACAAAATATGTTTTTTACAGTGTGCATCAATATGATAATTGTACGATCGTTTTATCGTTGTAATCAACTTGCTTCCCTAAACGTGTCCTTTTATTAATAATTCTATTGCAATTTATTTTTCATCACAATTTTATTGTTAATAGACAACTATTTAAACATTGTTCATACAAACCGAAGCAATTACACCACTCGTCCTTTTGTCCATCGTAATTAGGGGATCCCCTAGTCAAATGACATTCCACTTAACATGATTAATAACCCAAGCGCTTCCGGTCATTAAATTAAAAGCTTCAGCATCCTAGGTATAAAATGTTTCATAAAAATATTGAATCAAGTAATCCTCTCATTCCTTAAATTTCTTTCAATTTACGGAATTGTTCGCGTAGTCTTCTAATTATTTTGAGCAGTCTGCGTAGATCTCCGCGATCAAGATTCCTCCATGAAGAAAGGATCCGTGTAGCTGCTGGAAGATAAACCAGGATTCCTGTCGACTTGCTGGCTGGATTCCCGTGTAAGTCGGGTTATCAAAGTTCCAGTTAATGCTGAGAGACCGAGATAAGATGACGAAGGACAGACGAGTGTATCTCACCTGTAACCCATGACAGTGGGTCAAGGTATATGGGTCATAGCACCCTCATGCGGGTGGGACATTGCTTTATTGTCTCGATGTATGACTAACGTTATCAGGAGCCTTGCCTTATTTACATTTATCGCCAGGGTCAGATTGTCATCACAATTTCAGTTTTTTTTTTCACGGACAAACCGTGTTTGAAACGTATTACAGCAACAACAGAACATCTGTTCACGATGAGATGAAAAATACTTTTTTATTTGCAAACTGTACGATTAGATTATTGAATCAAACATATCAATTGTGCCTAGGGTGATTATTTTTGCAAATAATAATTAAAGTAGTGTACTTAAAACGTAATGTGTATAGAGGTAGATTGTTTATAAAATACATAAAATAAGGGTTAATATAACGTTATATTTTAATATGAATTATGACTCCATAAGTATGTTTTATTTAAGAAAAATTCAATGAGACTCTGACACTGATTTAATTTTTATAACTTTTAATATACAATTTCGCGAAGTAAATACAAAATATTTCATTCGTATATCATCAATAACAAAGTTTGAACTTCCTTATCGATAAATGATACACGATACGATATATCAATTCGATATATCTATTAAATACAAATCATTGATAAACGAGTCAGCCAGTTGGAGAAGCAGAGTCATGTATAAATTGTCTTACACTTTCGTACACATTCGTTCTCCTTGCTTTACTCACGTTTCACTGCTTCGTCTAATGAACACTCACCTTTCTCGGTGCTTTGCTATGCAAATACTTGCATTTTCACTGCACAACGCAGTGTAACACACGCACTTCGTTACGTCAACGCGTTACGGGGGCGACGCAGCTTCTTATCAAAGCAATGAATTCCAACATCGAGATGACAGAACCTCATTACGCATAAGCAAAACATGACACAAGATACCATTTTCTTTTGTCATTTGAAACATTAGATAGTTGTTGTAATGTGTGTAATAGATTGTAAGCAATAAAACGTGTTATGTACTAGAGAAAAATGAAGGAATTTCGTAAATTAACAGAAAAAATATGTACAAAATTATGATTAAACGAAATTCTATTATTAATAAATGCAAATCAGCCATGAGCTAAACTATTATCAGCTATTATTATTTCTAAACATCCCCTAAATAGTATTTTTAAAAGAAGTCTCGAAGGCGAGTAATAAAAGATCTATAATAATAACTATTAAATAACTTTTATTACCATTAAAAAGATGATGACCTCGACTACCATCCTAATCACCTACAAATTTACTTTACATAATAACGTACATTTACATAAGATAACGAGAACCATTTGATCGGACAATTACCTCTCTAATGCTTAGCTCTGAATAAAACACGATGTGTAATTAACTGAACACGAGGCATCACTCGTTTCGATTACAAAAGCCCTCGTGAAGGATCGAGCGTGCGTACAAAAGTCAATAGAAGGATCGTTTCAGGTGTTTACCTTAGCCTTACGAATCTGAAGACACATCGCTATTGCATTGACCTGATTTCGACCGCAATAGTATCCCACGTAATACTGCCACAAACTTCTTGGAATCAACTTTAGTAAAGTATTTACTGCCAACGCCCCTGACAAAACTGTTCCATTGATCCGAGAGGACCTTCGTCAGGGTTTACAGTGCTCTGTCAAACTATGCATAATTCATTTAATAATGTAAGAGTACACGTAGTTCAAGAACGAACGGTTCTAAAGTTTGACTCCGAAATTGAGTTTGAAACAATTTTATTTGCTTCGGTAAAACTTGGAGTAAGAAAGGGAAATTTGTGTTAGGTAGTATTTGATAGTGTTTATGGAAAAACTGTATATATGTTATATTTATTTTTTGCATTTTTATTAACGTTCGTGTTTTGTTTTATCTATAATTTAATTTGAATTATTTTATTTTGCTCTGAATGAATCGAAATGTGAGAATAGTTGAATTGCAAATTAAATTCGTGTTTGATCACGATGTATCAGTTTCAATCAGGTTAGGAGGTAAACGAGTGATAATAATTATGAAGAAGCACTTGACCGAATTAATATATTTAGTTTGCAGATTCCTTAGTTCTCAAGGTGAAGCCTGGCAATGTTTTTTGCACATAAAAATTAAAGGAGCGTGAAGAGGAAACCTCCTCTCACTCACATACCTACACATATAATATTTGGATTCGTAAAACTATCGCGTCTTTGAATAAATAGCACATGAAGATTTTACGTAGACGATAAAAAAGAAATTAGTATTGAGTAACATGAGTTGTATCTTTTTATTTCCATTGAGTAGGCACATTATTTGATAAATAAAGCTAACAAACAAATAATGAAATCTCTTATGTATACACTATACACGTTGAGAATAATTTTCATCGAATTTATTTTCAAAAATATTAATTATGGGCAGCAGCTGAATAATAAACAACCAATAGCGAATCTCGGTGATCTTGTTTTAATATTTGAAAAGGGATAGAATTATCATTATGTATTTAAATTTTAGTCGATATTTCTTCTTTTATTTTTCGAATGTTGTAAAAAGTAGAAATGTTGCTCTAAATTTTTACTATCTTTATATTATATTTACATCTCATTTGATAATAGACGTCTAAAAATTTGTGCCCTTTTGAAGAAAGATGTAATAACACCCAATCTAAACAAGACCTTTTTAATCAAATATCCTGAGAGAAGCCTCAACTATCACCTCCAACGTCAAGGTCATTACCCAACATTATATAATTAAATCCATCTCCATATAATCTAATCAAGAAACCGTTTATACACCCACAGACCCAGAAAAGGAATACTCCAATTTTCTAAAAACAATCTTAATACAAAATCCAAGCTCTGCCCTATCAAACAACTACAAAAATCGAACGACAGTTGTGAGGTGGGTGCTCTCATAAACGGCCGGAGTTCTCGACACCTAATAGCGAGATCTCTTCTATCAGCGTTGTCGCACGCGCTCTCTGTTGGCTCACGGTTCGAAAACAATAGGCAGAAGACGATCAAGGGAAGCTCGTAGCCGCTGGCCTGACGAAAGTGACATTGATCCAGTCTGCTGGATCACCGAAAGGAAGGACGCGCACGAAAGGGTCCCCGGAGAAGTGGAGGTGGTTTGACATTGGTCGTCGTTGGTGGTTGATGCTCGGCCATGTTACCCACAAGCACGCTTCCAGCTTATTCGTACACGCGAACGATTGGCATTTTGCAATTGTATCCGCGTGCCAGGCGTCTGTACAAGCGAGACAATACCACTGGCGGCTGATTTAAAGGCTGTCACACGCAGCATCTGCCAATGCAAACGCACCACTCAAGGCTGACGATCCCCACCGACTGGCGGGCTTGGCTCCCTCGATAGTTATAATTTACTATAAAATGGCAAAACGATCGCGATACTTTTAGACTTTTCACGCCCAGGCGCAGCCACGTGCACTGGCACATCGGTGTACACCGCGGCACCGAAATCATCTGCCTGCTTGCCCACCTGTCGGCCACCAGCCTAACCGAAAACCACTGCAACACCATCCGCCACGTGAATACGTTCAACTGCAGGCGACACAATGCAATGCAAACTCCTCGTCTTCCTGTGGATATGCTGCTGCGCCCACGCGTTGCCGCGATTGGTAAGTCATGGGATTGGGAGTCTTTGATCTGGTCTGGTACGAAGGATCTCAGTTTGTGATGTCGTAAAACGAATATTGAGTCTTGTACCTATGATTTATTTTAAAACAGTGGAAAATATTTTAAACTAATTAAGGCCATTGTTTGCTAGTCTGAAAGTAAATATTATTTATTATACAGTTCGATTCTTGGATTAGAGTCACAAAACATACATTATTACGTTTAGAGTAACGTTTTCATTTTTATTTTTGGAGTGTGACGTTAAAACGTTACGACAGTGTTGAAACAATTGACAAACTCTTCTTGTATTAGTGACGCGCGAAGAGATTGCCCCTGAATGAATGGGATCCACCTTGACTTCAGGGATAAACTCTCAGCGTACAACTTATACAATCATTATTCAACCGACGACTCATTGTTAAACTAGACAATTCATATTCTCTTTCAAGCTCTTCCATATCTCTCGACTACTGTTAGCAACTCTAACAATTATTTGTACAATCATAGATTATAAGTAGACTGTTATTCAAATAACGGTGTGTACGATAAATGTGTATTGTACGTATAACTTTCAAATTTTTAATATTTTCTACTTGCATGAATGTCATTTATCTTTTCGAAAGTCACAGTCTATTTAGAAGAGAGTTTTAACTATTCGAGAATACTAAAACATATTTGAACTGATTATAATGTCCCTTAATGATTAGTATCCTTCAGTTATTGTTACATGTGCATTGCTACAAAAAATATTGAGAAATTTCACGACGTTATAAGAATTTTCATTTTTCTTTAACTTCTTAGGTACCTCAAAACAATGTGAAGAATCTGCCATCATCGAATGTTCAAGTGCACTATAACATTACAAACAGTCAGATCAACAACCTGAGGCCAATAGAAGAAACGTCTTATATCGACTTCATTCCAACACCTTCGTTTCCCTCAAAAAGGCCGAACGTCTGTGACAATTGTGGTAACTATGAATGCTGTAATAGAAGCACTAACAGCTGCGTAAATATCATTTCTCAAGCCAACGTTTTCCTCATGATGAAATAAAAGGATTGTAGTTACTTTTTAATTAGTTTTGAAACACTCGAAAATAGCGAACAAAATGTTTAATGTTATAAGAATTATACATTCTATTATTGAATAACTACAACGTCGAAATAAAATAATCGAATTAAAATAATCGAATTAAAATAATTGGTACTAAAATGCACCATTTTTTATTTCTATGTTTATTTCACAATTTTTTTGTCTTTTGAGTCCTGTATAAATATACCATTTTGGTAAAATATAAAATATAAGTAATTACATTTTATCGAATCGTAATTCTGATTTGTATACGTACGTTGCAGTTTGTGGGGTGGGCAGGAAAATCAGGATCGTCGGTGGAAACGTGGCCAGCGTCTACGAGTACCCGTGGATGGTTAGCATGAGCAAACAAGGTACATTTTATTGTGCCGGAAGCTTAATCACGCGGAGGCACGTACTCACAGCAGCACATTGCATGGCGGGGTGAGTACTGACACGAGAAGGATTTAAATTTGATTTAATGCGATTCCAATCGATTTACAAAAATAACCGAACCACTGTCTATCCAATTGTTACAGTAAAAGTATTGTCCATTGTTTTTGTTATAAAACGGCAATACCCAAAGGTATTAAATAACACTTCAAATTATTCACGCATTGAATATGGAGTTTTCAATTCCACTTATCTCTTCGCTCTTCATTAATCTATTCTCACCTGAAACTGTTCACATAAAATTACAAATGTTAAAAATATGAATCATCTTTCAAGTCGAGTATTTTCTAAAGAAATTTCTCTCTACATAGCACCAAATTGACTTTGGCATATTTCAGGTTCGACAGGAGAGGCATCAAGCTTGTTTTGGCCGACAGCAACCGTCCAAATCTAAACAAAGACGCTGTAGTTCGTCGCATCAAATCAGTTACTATCCACGAGAACTTCCACGCGTATACCTATAACAACGATATTGCTATCATCGAAATGGATCGACCCGTGGATGTAAATGGTATCGTGAGAACTGCTTGTTTACCCGAAGACAGTAAGTGTTTGCTGGTTTATTGCAAAATTATCCCATATCGCAAATGATAAGTGAGGAAACAATGTGAAGAAAAATCTATTTTACACATCATTCCATCAAAACTTTAAAGTAATGAAAATTATACCTTGAGATATACAGAAATGTTTATATAGTCCTCTAGTTAATATTCTTGATGAACTTTTGTTTTGTTTAGGTCAAATCCTATATACTTTAACCATGCAAATATTGTTTCATTCAATTCTATATATTCTGGATTGCTTGAAAAATGTTTATTTAAAGAACCAATTTCTTATATTAAACTTCTAACTTAGAATATTTTTAAAACGCATATTCAATGTAATTTCATTTATAAGAGTTTTTAACTGCACGGCTTGCTATTTACAGTGCAACGTAAAATTTGTGATACTATTTAATCGTTCATATTTAAAGTTTCGTTGGATAGATTGCCGAGCATTAAATTTTCGCGAAGTCTAGACTGCCACCTTTCATTGACCCTTGAACCCAGGAAATTGACAGATATCTTACTTTTCCTAGAAGCTATCGACTACACGGGGGCAACAGCTACGGTGGTTGGTTGGGGGCGAACCGGTGAGGACGAACCTGTTAGTGATGAGTTACGAAAAGTCAATCTTCCAATTTTGTCCCAGGAAGAGTGCGATGAATCAGGGTATCAGAAGAACCGTATCACCGAGAACATGTTCTGCGCTGGTTATTTGGACGGCAAACTTGATGCTTGTTTCGTGAGTATTCGACCGAATACCTAAAAACAGGGATTCTCAACGTGGACCAAGTACCACTCAATTTTCAAACTGTTTCAAGCATCTCGAAATTGATAGAAATTAAGATGAAAGCAAAATTCAGTGGGAAATGAAATAGAAAAATAAACTAAATATAATTGTGTTGAACAAATATTAAGAATTCTGTTTCTGCATAGATCGTAAAATGTCCATGAAGGATAATAGTGCTGTAAACTAATAAGAAATAATTAAACTAAGTACAATACCACAACACTATTAAAATTTTATTTTCCTTTTTTCCTTAGGGTGACAGCGGTGGACCCCTTCATGTAAAAGGAACGTATGGCCATCTTGAAGTCGTAGGTAAGGCTACAAACGAATATTGATTTATACTTTACATTAATTAACCTTATAAATATATAAATCACATAAACGATTACAACCCAAACAGTCATTTACAGAAAAAGCATAAAATTATTTTACTATATACGATAAAATTTTATATATACAAATTTATATAAAAGTATGATAATATAAATACCATACAAACGTATATGTGAAATTTTATTATATAATATAAATGTGTACATATACATTTTGTACTCGATAAAATAAGTTTATATGATTTATATTTTTATAATGTCAATGAATATTTACTTCCAAGACATCAATCAATTTCGATCCTTTCCTTCTTAATACAAGCAGAGGTGGACTACATGTCGATTTATTACTGAAAATAAAATATACATGCATAAATTATTTTTTCATGCAGGAATAATTTCGTGGGGACGTGGTTGCGCCAGACCTAACTTGCCAGGAATTTACACGAAACTGACCAACTATCTCGGTTGGCTCAAAGATCATCTCGATGGCGAGTGCGTGTGTCCACCACCTCGATCCTAGTTTCTACTCATTAGAAGCCAGATGATGGGTCAGTCCGACACTTATTCGTCGCTTAGAAAAATTACCAAGCACCTTTCGTACACCGAATCTGTTACTTTTAATTGTTGAGATATGTCTACGAACAAGTACGATCAGTATTAAAGATAAAGGGCACGCGATAGTTTCCATCATCACAGGTTCACCAACATTTCCACATTCGTTTAGCCATAAAAATATTAAAGATGTACTTGTAAATAACCGCGGAACCGTGTACTATCGTTGCGAATCATTAATTTATTTTAATCGTTAAATCGTTGCACGTAGTTAAGATAATCTAGTCCCGTGTACATACAGAGGATCCCCGTTTCCTTTGATGCCGCACTTCCTGTATAAAGCAATTGTTGAATAAAGAATACGTTCACCAATAATTTTCCATTTTAGAGTTCTCAGTTTGGATAATAATTTCATTTTGTTCATGGAATCTTCCATTGTTGAAGCTTTGTGTTCTTCGTCTATAAAGAGCGCAGGAAGGAAAACCAAAAATTATCATGATATGGGAAGTAACAACCATTGCGCGAGAATTATTACTGTATAATGATGAATAAATAACAGTCCATAGGAAATTAAAAAGATATGGATGTGTATACGTTGTAAGTAAGATTATTTTTAGCCTTAATCGACTTTTAAATCATACAACTGGAATTTATTAGAGAACACCACGCCTTATAAAAGTTTACATAAATAATTTTCAAATGATATTGATGTGAGTATTACCGAGGATAAATTTTCTACCTGAATAGAACAAGTTTAATAAATAATTTAATGGTGAAAGTGACATGGTGTATTTCTAAAACTTGATCACAAATTTCAGAATTACGACAAACTTTAAGAACATATCCATGATGTAATGAAAACAATTCAGTTGTTATTTATATCATTAATTTGATTTTGTAATCTTACTAAAGTACTGGAACCAACAATCCAGATCAGTCGTAAACTCTGTTTAAGTCGAAAGCCAATTCCAAATTCAAGCTCTATGGTGACGGACATCTCGACTTTATTTTTCGAACGATATTTTCGAAAACGTTTGTTTCAGCGTAGTGGAAGTAACGGCAGCTGACAAAACGAGTGTAGAAGGTAAAGTAAACATCACTAAAAGATGTTAGATAAATGCCAGTCCTCGATCGAGATGAACGGGCAATAACAGAAACCGGGTCAGTAGTCAGAAACGTTTTGCTTTCAATGGTGAATGTGGGTTAGTGAAACCTCCAGACCGTCAACGTCGACTCCTGATTCTTCCCAAATTAAAATAGGAATAGCAGTCATTGGAATTTATATCAAATCAAATAAACTACTGTAATGTATTTTACAAAAAAGTATTAAAAACCATTCCAATACAAAAGAAAACTATTCAAGAACGTGTATAGTAGTATTCATTACGGTTCAGTTCCATAAAAATTAATCTAATCATCTCATTCGTAATCTTAACAGTGGCTTATCACGAGTATATCCTTATATTCCTTTAAGAAAAAAACCACGTGACATAGGTAGACGTAACTTGTGATGTACTTCACGCAAGAAAGATGAAAGTTGAGTTCATAAAATGATAATATCGTTGAAGTTTTGAACATACGTGTCATAATACAATGAATGTTGCATGTTAGAATATCGCAATGGTAATGTACCAGAGAAAGATGTTTCTTGCGGGTGAAAGTTAAAACGGCTTTTCGATTTCTTTGGCCTGTTTCTTCGATCAATGAGTAAAAGCAAATGAAGTATGATGAGGGCTGAAAGGTCTTCTCTCCAAACGTTACGTCTTTATTGTTTTATCTTTATAATTACACCATTATTTATTGGACTTTCAAATCTATATTTTAAAGTCGTATTTCTGGATTTGTTTGAGTTCACTAAATTAATTTAATTTTGCTCCAATTAATTCTATTCGGTTCTTTTAATGAAAGAATATACATATGAATATATATGTTTTCTTATATGAAAATATATAAGACGTACACGATCATAAACTTTTTCTTTTTAAGTAAATCAAGAACTCTTTTTAATTTTGCGACAATTTCTGATTTTTTTCAATTAATTTGCACTCGACAGAAAGCATGTCCACGATGTTTAACCTCAATCGTCGAAACTTCTCAACGGTAAACTTTACGTAAAACTGGAATGAACCAATTTGATGAAATTCCCACGAACTGGCAGACAAAAGCAAAGCTAATAGCGATTTGTGAGGAGGAAAACTGTAGTAGCTTGTCGTGAAGAACACATGACGGTCTGACCACGCACGAAGTAGTCGCGTAACTCTGGCCGCTGTTTCGTACAGTGAAGAACTTTTTTAATAACATTTCTTCGCAATGGAACATATTTTTGCAGCGTGTCGCTCCGTGGACCACGCAATTTCATTCGACGAAGACGAATATGTCGCTCGTTCATCTGGAGAAACACTAAAAGAGACATTTTTTTAAATGATTACAAGTACACGAATGGACGAACTGACAAATTTTGTTGATCTTTCTTTGTGCTTGTTAGCAATTGACAAATTATTGCATTTTTATGCCTTTTGATTCAAGATGAAAGTGTTATTTAAAATATTTTGTTTTAAAGTATGTACAACAGAATTATATAACACAGAAATACATGTGTAGTAAATGAAACAAAAAAATACTGAAGATTTTCATGAATAAATCTATTTATAAATACCAGTTCTCCCTGCAACTGCAACAACGCGCCCCTAGCAATGTCGATCGATCCCCACAAGTGTCAGCGATCAAAGCGAGCAGATTCCAAACAAGCGAATCCCGAGATCGATTGACAGAGATAGCAGCGTGACATGAATCCACCTCCACGTCCATCTTGCCAATTTCGAATCGAGAGGATCACGTGCGATCAGCGTCGCGTACTGAATGGGAAGAGCAACAGGACATAGAGAAAGAACTTTCTTCGCGAGCGTTGAACGCCTCGGCTCGGTCTTGGTCGGTCAGTCTGTCGTCTTCGTGGAACCACGGTGAAAGCGTCTGCACCACCTCGCCGATCTCCTGCAGCTTCTGGATGCGAAGCACGGTGCCAGAAGTTGAAGAAGATCCACGAAGAACGGTGGAAAAGTGCGGGAACACGCGATAGAATGAGCGATCATGAAGAAACCCGCGGACACGTCAAGAGCTTAGGAAGTTTCGTCGATGAGAGACGGAGGATTTCACCGTGAGTTTTTCGTCGAATGTCAACTGTCGATCAGAACATGACTTTGGGGTCGACACCACGAAAAAATTGGATCCTGGCTGCGATCCTCTTACTACTCGTCCATGTTCGCAGCATGGACGTTAGATTTCTGAAGGACGATTCTCTGGCGAGTACTAATTACACTGTGAGTAGTGGTTTTGACACTGTGGTTTGGTGTGAGTGTGAAAGTAGTTTTAGTAAAAGTTATGAATATGTTGAATTTGTGTTACATCGATTTAGTTATATTAAAGGGAATGAAAATATTTGAAAGTAATTTGAGATTCTCAGGTGAAAATTACCTTATGTATCCATTGCTTTTTCTTTGTTAATAATGTTCCATCAGCTTTGTTTAATTTCGTTTATCATCAATTTTCTCATACTTGGTGTGTTGTTTTCGACAAGTAATAGTTTGGTTGACCAATTGTGGATTATATATAAAATCATTTCTAACTATCATTTCTAAGTTCTGTGTTTGTTGACATTGAAGAAAACCTAATCCTACAGTAATTGTTGTCTCAACTACTTAATTTAGTTTTCCAATAAGCAGCATCAATTGTAATAGCACTTAAAAGTTTTGGCTTCTGAATTACAATTACAGCACTGTCATAACCACTGACGTGACTTTCTCTGTATATTGTGCAAGCAAATCGAAAGCTTTCTATACTCCTTACTGACATAACTTGCTTTCAAAATTGGAGAGACAGTTCATACCAATATCGCGAGAGTATCAGCTAGTCATTGAAGAAGACGTCAGAGAAAGTTGTACATTTTAATAAAATTGATTGCTTAATCATAATCATCCCTCGGTTTAGAGTGTGTTTAGAGCCATTACTTGTCTTAAAATTTTTAAGTGTACTCAACATCATTCGAATATTTCCTGAAGATTGCCGTAATATATAAATCGTCGAAGATTGTGATAAGCGTCAGTGAAATTGGAAGTATCTTCCATTGCGTATTCTTCGTTACGCCATTCTTGCCAGTTAGGACGTTTAGTTCAGCAAATAAACGTTGTATGTATAATACAAGGTTCCCAGTTTGTTCAAGCAAATACTGATTTAACGACGAAGGCCTTGACCCATAATTCGAATGATGGTCACTGTCTCCGGTCGCTCTTCTTGCTTATTTGGAATAGAAAGTGAACGTAACCGTGGAAGTGTGACATCCAGCGATGTGTTTCTTTCAGTGGACGAATTCAACGCAGAATCGGAAAGGAAAATTCCTGTTCGACGAATTATTTGGCTTTGACATATCTACTGATTCGGATGCAGACGACGAAGCCGTACGGAACTGTACCTGCGGTAAGACTGTGCAAATATCTTCAGAATTTCGTCCGAGAGATATTGATATTCTAATGATAAATAACCCAGAAAATTGTTCAATGTTTAAAAGATTAATAGTATTCTAGGTATTAGTGTACGCAATCTGACACAAGCATTTGGACATTGCTTGATGTTCAGAATCAATTAATCTACTTTTCTAAAACTGTGAGATTCATTTTCATACCACGTACTATCAACTGATTAATCTAAGTATTCAAATTCATGAATTAATTAAGTGAATACGACCCATTAAATTTAAGAGCTCTTTCCTAAAAGCAGACTGTAAATTCGATCAAACAGTCCCTTCAACTCCACCTAGAGAAACTCCATTAGAGGAGTTACTTAAGAAAATTGATGAAACAAGTTACCACCACGTTCGACTCGCAGCGGAACGAAAGTGTAACTGAAAAATAACTTTCCTTCGTGTAACTTTGCGAACTTGTTACGTCACGTAATAGAATTTGCACTTGACAGTGTAATAACACCCGTCCGCACGTATGGTTACGTGCCACGTAGCCGCGGATGTAGCAGTCAGTCATAGAAAGCGCTTCTGAATGCGTCTGACTCATCTAGAGGACCAATAATGAGACAGTAATAGGCAGTAACGAGTGAGGAATTGCCTTCCAGAGTGCGGTGTGTCCAATCAAGAGGATCGAATCGTCGGCGGAAGACCCACAACCCCGAACAAATATCCCTGGGTGGCGCGGCTCGTGTACGACGGTCGATTTCATTGCGGAGCCAGTCTTATTAACAACGATTACGTTCTTACTGCGGCTCACTGTGTGCGTAGGTAAGTTTCTGATTTTCTACATTCACGTGCAAGAAGATATTATTGTAACTACGGAAGACAGTGTTCCTTCCACTGCCCTTTTCGTTATAATATTTTTCATTAAATATTTGAGAAGGAATATTGTTTTTAGCTTGTTGAGCATCAATCCTTCTTCGCGCCTTTAAACTGTAATCATTTAAGAATGGATTTTCAAATGTGTTTTATAATAATAAAAATGTGAACAGTTCATAATTATTTACGATAATTCTATGTACTTTTTTCGAACTAACTCAATATTTTTCCAATGAAATTGTACTTCGCGTGATGTATAAAATATAAAACTATTAATATTCACCACCAGTATTCTACTGTACCATACTATTAAAAGAAATTAAATTTGTACATATTCAGAAAACTCCTTGCATAGAAAATGTAACGTGTTTCACAGATTGAAACGATCAAAAATGCGCGTAGTGCTCGGAGATTACGACCAGCACGTAACCACCGATGGACGAGCAGTGATGAGAGCAGTGAGCGCCGTGATTCGTCACAGGAACTTCGACATGAACTCCTACAATCACGACGTCGCCTTGCTGAGGCTTCGAAAGTCGGTGAAATTTTCCAAAAGCATTAAGCCAGTGTGTTTGCCGCAAAAGGGTAAGCATCAGTGTCCTGTACACTGCATTTGTATTTCTAAAGTGACACGACTCAAGAGACTTGAGTTTTAAAGCGTCGCAAATAAGAAGAGGGCAGGAAATGGAAGTAAGGGGAAAATACAGGGGTGGAAGAAAGAGGAGTTGGTTAGAAGGGGAAGGTGTAATTCTTCGTGCGGAGAGATAAGGGCTCAGGAGGATTCGAGTCAATCGAAGGGACGGATGATTGAGAGAAATAGAAGCGAAGTATCGACGTTCAGGTCCGGTAACGAGATCAAAAGGGAGAAGTACTGGTTAAAGGAAGATAAGAGGAAGCGTAGGGTACGTAGGTGGGAGAGGGAAACTTTGGGATCGCGCGTTGGAAAGGTGCATTAGGAGAGAAATAGCAGGGAAATGGTAAGGGAGATATTAGAGGTAAGGGGTGGAAAGATAGTGCGGATTAAGGATCGACAGATGTTGAAAGGAGTGACAGTGCGATGCAAGGAAGAAGGAGAGGAGCAAGGAGGGTGGGAGAGAGATGGTCAAGTGATAAATATGATTATCGTTACACGAAGACCCAAAGGAATAATTAAATCTTACTATAAGTCTGTATAGCACGATATCTCGAAAACTATCTGATAGATTTTCATGATTAAGGTCCTGAATTGCATAGATCTGAATGTCCTTCAAAACATGTTGATTTCTTCTGAAACATTCCTTTATCAAATAGTTCTATTAAAAAAAAAAATGTAGTGGACTCTCGTATACATAATAGACCCATTTATTTTACTTTTGGAATATACGGATATCAATGAAAGATCCTGGAAAGCAAGAAATAGTCTTTGACCCATACTATACATCCACCAAGTTCCTCAGGCGATTTGCAATGATGTTTCCAGGCACAGATCCAGCTGGTAAAGAGGGAACCGTGGTCGGTTGGGGTCGAACAAGCGAGGGAGGAATGCTGGCAGGAATAGTTAACGAAGTACAAGTACCGATATTGAGCTTATCGCAGTGCCGCATGATGAAATATCGAGCTAATCGTATCACTGATAACATGCTTTGCGCTGGTCGCGGTAGCCAGGATTCCTGTCAAGGTGACAGCGGCGGTCCTCTTCTTGTGCACGAAGGCGACAGACTCGAAATTGTTGGTAAGTTATTAGTATTATTTATCGTTAATCTTAGAATATATACGCTATAGGCATATTTGAGTAGACAGGAGAGAAACGAATCGACAACTTGGATAACTTCTTTGGAGATAGATCGTATGCCAATCAGAGTACTACTTTGAAGAAATCACTGCATTTGGTGCTAACGTAAATAAAAACTGAATTAATTGATTTAGAATTAACGAAGGATTGCAGATCTATTTAATTTTGGAAAATTACATAGTATTTATTTTTTTCCGTCAAACTGTACGACCAAATTAGGTTGGGATTAGATATTGGATAGATTTTCAAGTATTTCCATCGTCTGCTAACCAAATAGAAAGGCACCGAGGAAATCGCGTTTGAAGAACCACAGGAATTTCTTTAGTACAATGCACGCACAACTTTCTTCTAATTTTTATTCTTTCCCTCGATTTAGGTATAGTTTCATGGGGTGTTGGGTGCGGAAGGCCAGGATATCCTGGAGTGTACACCAGGGTAACCAGATATCTCAAATGGATCAATATCAACATGAAACAAGGATGCATATGCTCTCATTAAAAATAATTAACTTATGGCCCAGAGTTGAAAGAATGCTTTCGAGTTTGTACATACATATACATTTAAACAGGAATTATTTAAGAAGCCCGAAATAATTGGAAACACTTACTCATACCAAGAATGGTTAGTAGGTTTTGTTTATAATCGTCGTATTTCTTGTTAAATAATTTAACAATAAATGCGAATTTACCCAAATGCGATCGAATAGTAAGTTATCCGTAAAATAGAAGAGCTCGCATTGGCTACTGACTTAACAAATTAGAAACCTGATGAAAACTTACACGAAATCGTTCATTATACTGTAACTAGCAGAGTTCATCGTACATTTTGCCAAGTGATCACTTAATATTGTAGTATTATACATAGTGTATATAGTTTTATAGATTGTAAAGTTATGGTAACTATTTAGTTTAAACAATGTTATTAGCAGACCTGGTATTCTATCAGTAAGTTAAGTACTTAAGTTCCTTGTGGTATAGAAGTTATTAATGCTCTCACATGTAAATAAATAAAAGAATTCGTTATTATTCGATTTTCTTCGTTCGATTCCTTTGAGATTCTGAATTCTATTTAATTCTAAGCGCCTACACTTCTACATTTTCGATAGATGCAAACTACCAATAACTGCTTCCTTCTTCGTGTTTATTGTCAAAAACATTAGAATATTTGGAGGACATTGTACAGTTCCACACACTCGCGACACACCTTTGTTGCGTGAACGACAGTCGAACGTTGCTGGAATAATTACTAGTAACGGTTTCCTGTCAAACCGGGATTAAGTTAATGAAGCGAACATTCTGTTGAAAGCAGAACATCATTGTATGCATCGATGCATCCTTTGAAACCAGTGTTCGATCATTTATATCTGTTTCACCAAATATGTATATTGCACTGTATGTATTTAATCAACATCGATGCCGAAATTGTTTATTAACTTTGTAGTCGATATTATTAATAACGTTAATCATATTGGCTTTGAACAGAGACAATCAATGCAAAAATATTCGGAAAGTTAAAAAATGTATATTTTTTATGCTAAATATAATTAACTATATTGAAAATATGACTGTAAAACACCACACTTCGATCATTTGTAAACATAGAACGTACCCAAGATTGTTAAACAAATATTTTCCAAGTACCATTAAATATTCGTGTACATACATCAAACTCGTTAAGGAAAAAGACACGTTTCTTTAACTGTTAGATATTCAGGATCACAGACCTTACAAACGATATAAATGCTGCGTAATTTAGCCGAAAGTGGAAAAACCAGAAATTAATGGGTATATCGGACGAACCGTCTCTCCCTATCTTAAACTCATGGGACATCATTAGTGTGAAACACTCGCGGCGGAACGGTACCACATGACGCACCAGGCTAGCGTATAATAAGATACAGATGGGTAGTCATAAACGTTTTCTCCCATGGAATCTGCATAATGCATTCTGTAGACTGATTTTTTGGGTGCGTCGAAGTAGGTTGGCCGACCCGAATGCATCCAAAACATTTTCAGTCTCGAATATTTGTAAATAAATTCCAAATGAAATGAAATCTCAAGTATTCTTTGAATAGCTAAGACATTATTTGTATTACAAACTAATCTAAATATAAATCACTGAAGATCCAATGAAAATAACGAATACATTGTTTCAATGCTGTTAGAAAGACAAATAGTTCCATATTAATTTAATGTAAGCATTCATTTAAATTTGAGGGAATTCTTCACGTCTATATCTAACACGATTCACAAAATTGAACCAAACCATAAATACTCCCCCTCTACAATCACACAGTTTCCAAAATTATGTTGAATCCTTAAATTAATGCTTTCCCTCTATTTGTCTTCAAGGCAAAGCACACGTCAGATCACTTACGTGGTCATCGTTCAGATTCGTGACGATTATGAAGTAAAAGGCACCGAAAGGAGGAATAAAACCGAAATTGCAGCGGTGGATGCAAATCGTGCAAACCGCTACCATGACCCTGATGACGGTCAATACCAGTCAACCGTAATTCGACCCTGAACGTGAACGTGAACTGGTCAGGTACTGTCCAGTCGCCGACCAGTTGGCTCTGCTGTCTTTCTCCTTTGGAATAGCAATTACCTCTTCGACCTGAGTCCCCCTCAGTCGCCGTGGGACACTGGCGATAGTAACTCCTGGCTAGGGACATGTCTCTAACTCACTCCTGACAGTGCCCGCGCGGCGTATCCTTCATCGATAGTATCCTTCCTCTGGGACGTGACGCGTGAAAGTTCACACCGATTAAACGTAATCGAGTTCAATCGCGGAAAATGAGGTTCTCGTGGTGCCTTGGATTATCACTTGCCCTATTGCTGGCCTCAGACCCTTGTCAAGTAAGACTATTCACATGGAACACTACCGTCATCGCATGCAGACTATAAATTGCTAATTAATCGCAGATAGATTACTGTTTAGTCGAAGATATTGAATTTCTTACTGTTCCAATGACTTATAACTTCGATCTTCAAATATCTGTTATCCACGCGCCTAATTTACCTCATTCTGTACATATTTATGGTTTAACTATGTTGAAATACATTGTGAATAATAATTTGTATCAACGTGATTTCGATTTCAAAATTTCTGTGTTTAAAGTGAATGACGTTGAAAAAACGAGTTGCAACATTGAAACATTAGAAAAAAAACAATAGGGGTGGACAATTTTAATCTTGTGTATGATAACTGCCATACATTTGTTGGAAGTAAATGGCAGCTCGATTGCCACACATCTAAAGCAAAAGTAATACATAGCTGTGAATATCCGTTGGCTAATTTCTAGTAATGTTTCGTTATCAAATTTTTGTTCTGTATGAAAATTTGCGAGTACTTTATAAAGAATTTGTGGACATTAGAAATTAATCGAAGACGAATAATTGTTTACATTGAGATTTCGATTTTGATTTCAAAGGTGCACAGTGAAACAATATTTATAAGTATGCACTATCATTTGCAAACTCTTAGGCAGGAACATTCGGTGAAAAGGTGAAGAACTTTTTTGGAATTTTTGGTAACAAACCACCATCTGCCATAGAAGAGCCTGGACCATGTTATTGCAGTGAGTACAACTGTATTTTTATTAATAATTTCGGAGGAGCAGCCTAAATAACTAAGATTGTATTATCGAGACAACGTAATACCACAATTTAAGTGTTGGAATCACGAGCTTATCAATAAAATATTTTGCTTCTGAATTAAGTATCTTAGCTACATATTCCTTTCTAATAATTAAATTCCCAAAGGATGTTCAAATTAGGATTTAAAATTATGAACTAACATCTATTCGTTCCGAAATTGTTCTGGATATTCTAAATAAAACTTTTGATTACCCATATTAAAGAAGTAACCGTATTCAATGCTGTCATGAGGTTTTTATGAAGCTTCCTATTAAGAGAACAATTTTGTTAACGAAATCAGTCGTTTGAATGATTAGGCTGCGGTGTGCGAAACGAGGAGAGTCGAATAGTTGGCGGGCAAACGACACAGGTGAACGAATTCCCATGGATGGCGAGACTTTCGTACCTGAATAAATTCTACTGCGGCGGCACTTTGATAAACGATCGATATGTCCTCACCGCGGCTCATTGCGTCAAAGGGTAAGCATTGTCTAATAAAAAGTAAAACAAATTTAACTGCCTTAATCAAGCTTCTAGTACCCTATCCTCCAGATTGGAGTTATCTACAGGAAAACAAAAATATATCTAAGGACAGACAATAATCATTTAACTGTAATAAATTGAAACTCAAGTATTCATCCATTTTTGTACTCCTGAAGATGATCCTGAACTGAAAGATCAAAAACAAAAGCTTGATCAACTCTTTACATTCTAATAATAAAATAAAATCTGAAATTATTATTTGAAACCTGAAACTAAACAATACGACCAGCCAACCGCTACCTTCCAAGCGTTCATTTGAATTGCTAATTATGATCCTGTTCTCGAGGCGAGCATGGTCAGCTTTTCTAGTCCCGCTTTCAGGTTCATGTGGTTCATGATCAAGGTCACCTTCGGCGAGCACGACAGGTGCGTCGAAAGAGGATCCGAGACTAGATACGTGGTCAGAATACTGATGGGCGACTTCAGCTTCCTGAATTTCGACAACGACATAGCCCTGCTGCGGCTCAACGAGAGGGTGCCCCTAAGCGACGCGATAAAACCCATATGTCTGCCGTCTGTACGAGGTGACGTTTCTTTTCTTCCCTTTAATAACAAAAATGCTATATATGACACCACGTGGCATCACTTTTAAACGTGCACGATATTTATGAATATTTCATTCCACCCTCTAAGACATATGAGCTTGATTCATTTAGAAATATTTAAATTTCATAGAAGACAGTTTGCTGTAAATTTCAAAGTGTAAGGGATGAAAATAATTTATTTTAGTGAAATTCTTATTATTCGTGATGAAGTATACTACATTTACTTCTTTAAGTGTTTCAGTTCTTAGGACTAAAAGTTGTTTCTTAAAGAAAGTAGTGCTATCTTTTCTAGCTCAGAATATCGATGTTTACGAGAACACTCCTTAATGGCAGAAACATTGATAAACAACACTAACTAAACGATTACATACTAAACCATGCCTGGCTAACATTACTCATTAACTTTCAACAAAGTATCAAATTCGACAAAGAAAAAATTTACCCCGAAATTCTTAGCCTACTATTAAGATTCGATCACGTGTTAATACGATACGCGTACCATTAATTAGCCATCTCTGTTACAAACTGCGCAGCGAGCTGGAAAAGATTAACAACCACTACCCTAATGAGTGAAACGATCGTATCAACAGCGTCCGTCGTCCATCGTTGCACAATTCCGTCAAACGTCGTGTTATTCATTGCCCGATTGATTGCACGACGTGTCAGCATAAATTAGTCGTCATACGGGTACCTTTCTCGGCTGCAATCGTCGCGATGATAGATTTTTTTTCATAAAATCGAGGCCTTCCTCGCGTGAACGTGCCGTACGTCGATAACTGCAACAACAATTGTTACCGTATTGCATAACCCGTGTCACCTGTTACCAATATCTTCGCGATGAAAAGTGCAAGTGGATCCGACTGATGTGGAACGTTGCTCATGCTTTATCAGCTCGAGGTGCTTGTTCGCGTTCCAGCGTCACTTTTTCTCTCTTTTTCACTCTTTTGTCGTGTTGAGCGGTTCCGTCGTTGCAATACGGGTGGCGTTAATGATTCAGATAACCAATACGTCGGGACGAAAGCAATAGCATCAGGCTGGGGTACCTTGCAAGAGGATGGAAAGCCTTCGTGTCTCCTGCAGGAAGTCGAGGTACCGGTCATGAGCCTTCAGGATTGCCGTAACACGAGCTACAGCCCTCGCATGATCTCCGATAACATGATGTGCGCCGGATACAACGATGGCAAGAAGGACTCCTGTCAGGTAACGTTACAACGCACCGTATCTTGGTTATTAGATGTCTGCAAGTGTGTCTTGAGTCAACTTTTATTGTAACAAGATCTGATTTAT